GGAAACATGGGACATATGGGGACACATGGGGCACATGGCACACATGCGTCTCGCACGCATGGGACACATGGAGGAGCATGGCAGCGACGAGTGACGGGATCGCAGCGGATGTCAGTGGTCCAGGCCTTCTCACATAGCAAATGGCATGGACACACAGAGCGCCACACCACACTAGACAAGCCGCGCAGCCGCTGCATGTGTGTGAATCACCAGGCACTCACAGATGCACCACGCGGCGAGTGACAGGGTCGCAGCGGATGTCAGTGGTCCAGGCCTTCTCACAGGGGCTTCCCTCCCCTCCCCACGTCGACAGCACCCCAGGGGCCGTCGACTGCAGCGCTGCCTGCAGCTGCAGCAGCGCCGCCACTGGGGAGGTGAGGGGGACAGAAGAGGGAGCAGGGAGGGGAAGTGGGGATTGGAAGTCAGTGGTTCGGGCCTTTTCACTGGGATCCCCTTCCCCTCCCCTCGTCTAGAGCAGCCCAACTATACGTTGCCCAACTATACAGCAGTCTGCACTCATATTAAAGGAATAAATTTGTCATAAGAGGCATAACTTTTGGTTACGACCATTTTCGCGTTCCTCAAACAACGAATTTGAACAGATTCGACCACACTACAGTGCGACTTTATCTGCTGCTGACTAAGTGCATGTCCGGCTGGTGCAGTACCCCCAGCAGTGGGATCGTTTCAGTGTTACTTACTGTCAGGCGTCTGCTGCGGGCCAGTGTCGGCAGCACCCAGCAGCAGAGGGTGCAGCGAGAGCAGCGCCACCAGCAGCAGCACAAACGGTAGGTCCAACCCGCGCCTTCCTCTCACGGGTATAGAGGGCGCCATCGCTGGGAGAGATTCGCGGAGCGAGGGAAAAAAAGAAAGAAAGCAACGGATAGGAAAAGAAGTGATTACATGATTGAGGGTGCAGCGAGAGCAGCGCCACAAGCAGCAGCACAAACGGCAGGTCCAACCAGCGGCTTCCGCTCACAGGTATAGAGGGCGCCATCGCTGGGAGATGGAAGGGATTCGCGGAGGGGTGGAAAGAAAGAAAGCAACGGAAACGTAGGGATGTGATCATAAGTCAATGTCAAGTAGTATAGGTTGCACCCGTTGCAGCGAGAGCAGCGCCATCAGCAGCAGCACGAACGGCAGGTCCACCCGGCAGACTCGTTCGTTATGTTTATTTCTGAAATGTCGCAGAGAGGGAAACTGTGTCCGAGATGGGGGCGAAACTATTGTACGGGATGCGGTTGGTTTCCGTTACAAGCACGTTCGATATTCGTGCCGCGCTGCCATGAGAGCACTGTCCGAAAGGCAGCCCGCATCAACGAGCGCATTCCCATTTTGAGTCGACTCAAAAAGCACTCGCGTAAGAATCGAGCAGCAGCCGCATACGGCGGTTACGCGCGGAATCCGGTTCAGAGGTCGTGCACGGAAGAAGACTGCACGGACAGACAGGCTGATCCCCGCTATCATCTGGCACTCCCAAGGCAGAGGTCTTCGAGTTGAGTTGAAAAATCTGGCATTTGACGGTTCAGAAAGCGTATAAGCAGGCCGCGTGGATAATCGCCTGGACGCTCACTCCTCGCATCGTTAATGTCCGAAAAAAATACAATTGAAATTCATGACATACGACATGTAAGAAAGAAACAAATAAAAAAAAAAAAAAAAAAAAAAAAAAAAAACAATCGACGCTGCAGCTTCGACGGAGGAAAAGGCTTTCGCAGAATGAAATGAAATAATCGCTTCGTTTGAGAGTCATTACAAATCTAATTGCGAAAAAAATGCTAGGAAAGGCGGCTGGAACGCTCTACAAGTTGGGTCAGCATCGGTGGCGTCTGGCAGCCTCGCAACTGAAGCCTCTCCAACAGCAACCATACTGGAGCTCGTAAAATAATTCCGCAAGTTTCCAGCAAGCATTCACGACGCACACAACGAGCACTAGGCTGCGTCAGTGGCGTCATGCAGCCTCGCAACCTTACCATAGCTGGGCAAAATTGTTACGCGAGCTACTAGGAACAAATGTCGACTCGCATGGCAGATATTAGGCAGCATTATGCAGACAAGATGCGCCAGTACGGCAGACGCCGGACGAAAGGAGATGCGAGTGCAGGTTCGGAGGAGGGCGAAGCATAGGCATGAAATGACAGCGCGTCCGAGGTGGTCTGTGGCTTCCTGCCGTTCGTCCTATCTGCGACGAATGCAACATTATTGATCTAACCCGCAAATCTTGCAATACCGTTCCACGTAGCATGGACATTTAGGTAGCATTTCAAGTAACATTTCCCTCACCTGTCCACGTCGACAGCGGTCGGATATAGATTCCCGAAACTGTCGCCTTTCTTCCCGGTCTACCTTAGAGCAGCGAATTAGGATGGGAGCCAACCAGAACTTATCCCAATCCCAGCCCTAACATAGCAAATGTGGCAGGATTGAATGCAGCACCAACGCCAAGGGATAGAATCTTTTGGTAGTTTATCCTGCTGCTCAAAAATCAGGTTCTGGTCCTGAATGAACCAAGATTCGTGAATGCTTTCTGGGGGGTAAGGGCGGATGGATGGACGGGTGAGTGGGTGGAGGAAGGCGGTGGGGGAGGTGGACAGAGAGGGATGAAGAAGATTGAGCGTGGATGGAAGTAGAGTAGAAAGGGATGGGGATGGGTGGGATTTGTGGCGAAGTTGTCTTGCTGGCTGCAAGAAACCATCAGAGGGGGAGGCTGGCAGGACAATTTTCCGAGCCTATCGTGCTGCTTGGAGTTGCCCTCGTGTTTTTCGATGCACATCCAACCGTTTGTTTGCAGACATCCTGGTCGTCTGCTTCATCGTGCCGTTACGCTCGCCCCCAATCAGAACGAGATACGGCAAAAATCCTTGAATTTTGATGACTCTGGTCTGGATCAGGGAGGTCAGGAGAATCTGCCCTGGTCTGTGTGTGCTTCGGAAAAAAGAGGGTTTGCAGGTTTCTGGCGGTAGCCAAGCCAGCTCGCGACGTAACTTTTCAATGTTACCCACGCCTGCCATTCTTCGCACGGAATGATGTAAATCTTTCACCCACCTCGAGGTGCTGGATGATGGTTCTGCAAACCACCTCACGATGGTACACCTGTTTTTCGCTACACTAAACCGCGTAGGGACGCTACTGTTCCTTGGAAGTATTCGAAAATTTGCCAATACCGAAATCTGTCAACCGTCCTAGCAGGCGCGTGGGTGAGGGGAGGTTTTCTAATTTCACCTTTCCTAGATACCCTAGCCCGCCATTCCAAAATGTCCAGAGAACTTTTTAAAACGTAACCCATACACTGTATCGCGCTTGTCAGAAGTCACTATAACGCAGGGTGATAGCGCGCTTCTGTACGGGGTGAGTTTCTAGAAACAGGGAATTTAGTATGGCGAAGCTCACTATGGCGAAAAACAGGGTGTAGAGGCTCAAAATGTCGTAGAAATTCGTCAGCCAGTTTTCGCTTGTTTCGCGAGATAATTGTAACCGTGGCTGTTCTCGAATCCAAATCATTTCCACTTGCAAAATAGCTATTTCAACCAAGAGTCTAGCACTTGTTCGCAAATCCAGAAGACCTTTCAGCCATCCACATCACACCCTAGCGGGACTTGCGGCGGCGGGGGAGGTCTTGGTTTACACTTGAGGGTAGTTGTTCTCAGTGTTAGAAAACAATTCGTATGCCTTCTTAGCATCCACGAGACGCGATGAGCGACACCGTGGATCGCTTAGTCGGTGGTGTGCTGGTTCTGATCGCGCTTACCGTGTTCTCCTACTACAGCATCTGGGTCCTCGTTACAGTAAGTACCATTTCCCGTACATGGTATAGGCGAGATCGTCTCAATACAGGTCTGGCTTTCAGCTATAAGTGCTCGCGTCCCAAATTGATTGATGTGCCGCTTGGTTCGACCTCCGGTTACTCTGCTCCCTGTGTCGTCGTCAATTATCGCTTTCCCGGATCCATGGCCTCCTCGGCCCGGCCGTTTCGTCCAGACGGACGTTCCATCAACGCCCACTTCATCCCACATCCATGTGTGCCGTGCTCGTTCCTCTTCCACCCGCTGTCTCTCCCTTTCCCTTCCCCTCTTTCCTTTTCTCCCAACTATTCACGCTGCTACCTCCTCCCCTCCCCACGCCACACCCATGCCTCCCAATCCCACCCCCTCTCGCCTCCAGCCGTTCCTCCCGGACGGCCATTTCATCAACGCGCTCTTTCTCCCGCGCATCTACGCAGTGCTAATCCCTGCTGCTGCTTTTGTGCTCATGCTCGGCTTCGTCCTCATCTTCTTTGCTGCTGTGCTCATGGGGCAGAAGACTGGCAAAGCCAAATCCAGCTGATACACACTCTTTACCAACCCAATTAATAAAGCGTCCTCGTCCTATGTGCGCAATGCCTTATTTTGGCACTTTCGGGTGCATTACAGTATGCACTAGTACCTATGGTCTAGTACAGTAGTTATGCAGCCCAGTCGGCCTAGAATGTGTTCGCAACTTACAACCTACGGGTAGGTGTGCTGTGAGCCATCCTTTCCATCCCGGTGCTTTCCATCTCAGTCGCTTCCATAAAGATTTATAACCTGTGAACATATGCAGTGGGGCAGTGCCTGCATAGCTGTCTTCAGCAAGCACATACTGCAGGTTTTAAAAATGCTGGTTGGTTGGTGCTTTACATTCCAGGACAAAGGCCATCGTAGCCATCTATTGGGCAATTTCTGGCAGCAGAAAGCTCCTGCGCAGTTATGGGTGGGATCCAGGTTCAGTAATTTGGGAAAAGCATACTGTACGACACTTGACTTACCTGGCGTGTACGACAGGACAGTGACCTGCGTGACAAGCCGGTAAACAATCACTCCAGTACACTCCACAGTATGTATCAGGGGCCGGAAAGCCTCCCAAAACGCATATGGCGGTGGCTGCAGGAATCCAGTCCGCACCTGTAATAGACGTGTCACACTCCACTCCATCCAGCTACCCTGAAAGAAACCCCTAGAAAGCCGCATCCACGGCTCAATTTGTTACTTCCCTTGGCCAATAATGGGCCGAAACGCCACCCCAAATGCGTACGGGCGGGGCGGCAACAGAAACTCCTTGTGCACCGATGGGGTCCAGCTGTCGTCGCCGCCCACACCCATGATGGCATGATCCAGATGCACCTGAAAGGGTTGTGCGCGTGGGTGCGGGTGGTGGGGGTTGGGAAGGGGAGGCCATCAGGTGTGATTTTGGGTCGGTGGTCAGACGGGGTCCAGCTGTCGTCGCCGTCCAGGTGCACCTGAAAGCGTGGGGAGGGCGGGAAGGGTGAGAGGACGGGCAAAGGGAAAAAGGAGGAGGCACAGGTGCTTATAAATCACACCTCACAACCAAGGGTTGACCATTCTCAACCCTTGGTAGGTGTGAGGAAACAACAGCAAATGTTCACTCGATTCGACTCTGAATTCACCACTTTTCAGTCAACCCTTCAAGAAATATATCCCCTCACATGGTTGAACTCTGCGTCTTCCACCAGTTCCTCCTCATGCTGTGCTCGATGCAGCTCCTCTGCCGAGTACCCACTAGCACTGAAGTGCACCACCGCCTTCCCTCCCTCCCCTCTCTCCTCACCCCCTCCCCCACCTCCATCCCCTCCTCCAATCTCCACTGGTTCCATAACAAGCCCTACCAGCGGAAACGTCTGGAACACCTCCCTCCCCTTCCCCCCATCCGCCTCCCTTCTTTCCTCCCCCTGTGCTTCCACCTGTGCTCCCCCCTGTGCTTCTGGCAGTGAAACGCCTACAGCAACCTCCTGCAGTTCCCCCACTGACCCCTGTGGTTCCCCCTCCTGTGTGCTTGTAAAGAGTGTGACCCAACGTGTGTCGACTCTTGCCCCATTCTCCCCAGGAGCAATGTACGGCACGTGGAGGGATTTCACCGGCAAATAGTGAAGCGCCACGTGTGCAGACTGCTTCCGGTCAGGATAACATTCGTGCGGGCCCCGCCCGGACCAGACCGTGTCGGAGAGTTTTTTTGCTGCCCGGAACCGCATTCCGACGCGCGGTAGAGGCGGCAGAGCAGGGCTTGGGTCCACCCAAAATTTTACAACCACCTGCCCGTTTCCATGGATCTGCCATTCAGACTTGAGCCGGACCCAGCAGTCTACGTCAGAAAGTTTCTTTGCCTGCCCGCCGCTCGCTGATGCTTCAGCTTCCGCCCCTCCATAAGCCTCGACCAGATTGGTTGGGGCAGCACCAGCCTCCACAGCTCCCTCCTCGGAAATTTCATCTGCCCGGGGTCGAAAAGTTGTCTCTACAACCACAGAAACCGTCCCATCCTTCCCAATCGAAATTTTCAAAGGTTCCTCGCCACCCTCTCCTTGCTGCCCATCTTTTCCCTCCCCCTCTTCACCCCTCTTCTCGTCGTCCTTCCCCTCTCCTTCTCCCCTCCCCTCGTGCACCACAGTCGCATCTCCCTGCAGGAAAATCACCCCCCCAGCATCAGCAGCAGCAAGGCTGCTGAGCCCTGCGGACTTCCACCTGGCGGCATAGCTGGCGGCGCCGCCTCCCTTGTCATTGTCCGTGGGTGCCCGCCACAGGGCAAGGTACGGTGCAGCAGGCAATGGTGGGAGAAGCACATCTGAACCGTTGACCTGGGAGGGAAAACGGGAGAATGGGAGAGCAGGGGTGAACAATTGGTGGAAAATCATCCCCCCAGCATCAGCAGCAGCAAGGCTGCTGAGCCCTGCGGCCTTCCACCGGGCAGCATAGCTGGCGGCGCATCCTAAAGGAATGGGAATGGGAGGGATTGCGGGTGCAGGGGGTTAATGGCAGAAGGGGAACAGAGGAGAGACCCGGGGTTTCTAAATGGTACGAGGGAGATACTTCCTTAGCTCGAAACAACTAGTCAAATTTGAAGTTCAGGAAAAGTAGTGAACATGAATACGATGGAATAGCCACGTGATTAAAGGAGTGTTTTGAGATGTCTCAAAACATTTCGAATTCAGCAAAAGTAGTGAACATGAATACGATGGAATGCTAAGATGGAAACCCTAGCAAACCCTAAACCCTGAACAACCCTCACCTTCCAGGAAAGTGCACCACCGGTCTTGACATGAACAGTGATTGCGAATGAGCCATCACTGGATGTGACAAGAACAGACGATTGGCGGACAGGTCGAGGAGGCTCGGAGAGCGCAGGTTCGGAAGTTGCAGGCTTGGTGGAAGGCTTGGAAATGGTTGAGGTGATAGCTTGTTCGGGCAGCTTGAAGGGCAGCTGAACAGATGCGACAACCTGCCCGGGAGCGCACCACCGTGTTCTCTCGTTCACTGTAGCAGTGAACAGTGCAAAGAGCTCTGAATCAGCGCTGACATCATGCGCTGCCCAGTCCAGGTCAGCAGGGATGGGGCTGGGGATGACATGGCGCTGACGTGGCAGGATGGTGGGAATGGCGAGTGGGCAGGAGAGGATGGGAGTGGGAGGAGAGGGGGGAAGGGTGGTGGTGGATTGCGGGGGAAGAGGGAGGGAGAAGAGAGAGAAGGAGAAGGAGAAGGTCGAGGAGGGCTGGTAGAAACTCTTGTTGAAGACCTGGTGGATAGAGGGAGGAGTGGAGAAGGGTGATGGGGGAGATGCGGGGAGAGGGGAAAGTGAGAGGCGTTTCATATGGGAGGTGGTAAAGAAAGAGAGGCAAGGGCGGAGATGAAAAGATTGAATGCAGTACAGAGCGATGTATGAGGGCGGATAAGTGAGACATGCTGGGAGTATGAGGGTGCGAACGTGCCACATGAGATCCACAAAACCAGAAACAGCTCTGCATCCCTCTACTCTGCACTGCATCCCTCTGCACCGCACGTCATCCCTTAGAACCGCTCTGCATGCCCCCAACGCTACAAGTTTCCGGACATGTCATACCTCAACGTCACCCTGCTCCGTCCACTTGAAGCCAAAGTAGCGATACACGTGGGCCAGCTCTGATGGTGGGGCATGGACGGGTGGAGAGGAGGCATTGCAGAGTGAAGGGGTAGAGCGAATGGAGAAGGGTGAAAAGAGAGGGAGAGGATACAGCATGGAGGAGACGAGCCACCAACCTTACATGGCAGGAAGCTTACCTCGCATAGGAGGGTGCATTGAGTTGATTTTTGAGGTGCCTAAAAAAAAGCTTACCTCGCATAGCAGGGTGTGGAGTCCTATCAGGCCTCACAAGCCCATTGATACAAAAGTTGAGGTCAGAGGCCTCTTACTAACAGTCTCACACTTACCGCACATAACAATATGCTCACCACGCATGGCAGCAGGGTGGGGAGCCCTATTGGGCCATGCGAGTCCGTTGATGCAGAAGTTGAGGTCAGAGGCCTCTTACTAACAGTCTCACACTTACCGCACATGACAATATGCTCACCACGCATGGCAGCAAGGTGGGGAGTCCTATCGGGCCATGCGAGTCCGTTGATGCAGAAGTTGAGGTTAGAGGCATGGCCGGGTGGGCAGAGCCCACCTTTATAACCGGTTTCACACTTATCACGCATAGCAGCACCCTCACCTCACATGGGATAGCATGCTTACCACGCATGGCGGGGTGGGGAGTCCTGTCGGGCCACACGAGCCCATTGATGCAGAAGTTGAGATCGTTAGGTGTGTCCCCAAAGTCGCCACCATACGCCCAGAACCTTCCAGGATGCTTCACTGGCAGCTCCACCTCCTCCCATGGCTGTTGCTGCAGCTGCTGCTGCTTTTGCATCGCTATTCCAGTTTCATTGCTGCTAATTTGATTTCCATCAGGAATTGCTGCTGGCAATAATGCTGCTGAAGATGCTGGTTCAGAAATTGCTGGTGCTGCTGCTGGTGCCGCTGCTGCTCCTAGTTCTACTGTTGCAATAGCTGACGCTTCTCCTTCCTGTGCTGACTCAGGTGCTGGCTCAGGTGCTGACTCAGGTGCTGGCTCAGGTGCTGACTCAGGTGTTGACTCAGGTGCTGACTCAGGTGCTGACTCAGGTGCTGACTCAGCTGCTTGTGGCGCTGCATCTGGTACCCCAGCTTCGACTGGTGCCCCACTTGCCATTTCCTCCGCAGCACCAACAGGAGGAGTATCACTAGGTGATTCTGCAGCGTTCTTCTGAGGCGCCTCAAAAGCCGGTGCCGCACTTGCCATTTCCTCCGCAGCAACAGAAGGAGGATCTCTAGGTGATTCTGCAGAACCTTTGGCATTAGTATCACTGTCAGGACTTGCTGTAGCAGTCGCACTGATGCCATTGCTGGTTCCGCTGGTAGTAGTTTTGTTGGTCTGCGTGCTGCTGCGTGGTGCCATGTCCTTCCATAGCCCCTAAGAGAGGGAGGAGGGGGATAGCATCAGGTGAGTGGTGAGAGTTGGTGGTGTGGTGTGGGGTGAGGTGGGGTGCGGTGGAGTGGGGCATGGTGAGGTGAGACTTTTCTCGAAAGAGGAATGGTGGCGATTGGTGTGTACGAGGAAAGAGTGCGAGAAAGACTGAAAAAAAACAAAAACTGGCACTCTCCCTGTGAGAGGAACGCTGACCAATGGCGTTCTGGATAAAGCCTACCCCATGTAGTACCTGTCCCCCCACCTGATCCACCCAGTCCTAGATGAAGCCTCCCTGCAGCCTGTGGGTTGACTTGATGGCATCCCAGTACATGTCCACAGGTAATGCCTGTCCCAGGTAATGCCTGTCCCAGATAAGGCCTGCCCTAGGTAATGCATGCCCCAGATAAAACCTGTCGCACCTGATCCACCCAGTCCCAGATGAAGCCTCCCTGTAGCCCGTGGGTTGACTCGATGGCGTCCCAGTACGCGTCCAGGTTGCCACTGCTGTTGCCCATGGCATGGGCGTACCTGGGGGAGGTGGTATTCAGATTGAATGAGTGAGAAAAATCCTTTGGGATCCACACACGCGCATGTACATGGGACACACCAGGTCCGTGGCACAGGTTCGAGAGCAGGGGCGAGCAACCCAATGCAGTACCATACGTGAGATCACATCACACGGCCCGACTCACTCACTCGCAGAGGATAAGAGGGCGGGTCTCTTTGGGGTCAGCCGCAATGGCCTTGATGTCAGGCACGCGCATGTACATGGGATGGGACACACTAGGTCCGTGGCAGTGGTGCGAGAATAATGCTATGCAGCACATGAGAATAGGCCAACAATGCACTCACTCGCAGAGGATGAGAGGGCGGGTCTCCTTAGGGTCTTGAGCAATGGCCTTGATGTCAGGCACGCGCATGTACATGGGGCACACTAGGTCCGTGGCAGTGGTGCGCGAGCCACCCCCCTCGTAGTGTATGGGGCGAGAGGGGTCCCGGTGACGCAACCACGCTGGATGGACAAAGGGCAAGGGGAAGGGGACGTGGGATGGAGAAAAGGCCATGTCACTGGATGGCCTAGGCACGCGCATGTACATGGGACACACTAGGTCCGTGGCAGTGGTGCGCGAGCCGCCTCCCTCATAGTGTATGGGGCGAGAAGGGTCTCTGTGGCGCAGCCACGCTGGATGGAAGAAACGGGAGATGAGAGAGTGAGGGTGAAACGCGTTGAAGATAGAGAGTGCAGCACGGTGCAACAGTACCATCCATCTCCCTGACATCCATCCCCATATATCCATCCCCATACCATCCATCCCCATATATCCATCCCCATACCATCCATCCCCATATATCCATCCCCATACCATCCATCCCCATACATCCATCCACATACCATCTATCCCAATTGCATCCATCCCTATACCATCCTTCCCCATAACATCCATTCACCCCATAGCACACATCCATTCCACCTGCCATGGCATTGTGCGTGGCCCCATAGCCCGCTTCATTCCCAAGCGACCACACCACCACGCTCGCATGGTTCTTGTCGCTCTCTCACATGCGTCACCCTCGTCCTTCTCACTCCCACCCCAATACCGTTCATCTAATCTACCCACCTGCCATGGCATCATGCGTCGCCCCATAGCCGGCCTCGTTCCCCAGCGACCACACCACCACGCTCGCATGGTTCTTGTCGCGCTCGCACATGCGCATCACCCGCACGCCCATCGCTGCCGCCCACTCGGGGTCCTCGGCCGGCTGCCGCCTCTTCCTGTTGAGGTGGTTGTCTGGATCGAACCCGTGCGTCTCTATGTTGGCCTCGTCTATCATGAGAAGACCAAACAAGTCCGTGAGCTCGTACCTGGGTGGGATAGGGGAGGGGGCAGATGAGAAACACAGGGAGGCGACAGTTGAGAGAGAAGGGCGAGAAGAGGGAGAGAAAATGAGTGTGGGCTTAAGAGTTGAATATATGTGACTTGAAGCCGCCCACTCGCGGTCCTCAGCCAGCTGCCACCCCTTCCTGTTGAGGTGGTTGTCTGGATCGAGCCCGTGCGTCTCTATGTTCGCCTCGTCTATCACTAGGAGACCAAAGAGGTCTGCAAGCTCATACCTGGGGCGGGGAGGGGGGAGATACAGATGCACGGAAGCAGGAAGGAATAAGACGAAGAAGGAAAGAAGAGAAAAAAGGGAGAGGGAATGAGTCTGGGCTCAAGAATTGAGTGGAGTTCATGTGTCTTGCCGCTGCCGCCCACTCGGGGTCCTCGGCCGGCTGCCACCCCTTCCTGTTGAGGTGGTTGTCTGGGTCGAACCCGTGCGTCTCGATGTTGGCCTCGTCGATCACGAGATGACCGAACAGGTCCGTCAACTCGTACCTGAGAGAGGGAAGAAGAAAGGAGGAGAGGGACGGGAGAGGGAATGTGCAAGGGCTGTAGGGATTGATCAAACCCCTTCCTGTTGAGGTGGTTGTCGGGTCGAACCCGTGCGTCTCGATGTTCGCCTCGACTATCACAAGAAGACCGAACAGGTCCGTCAACTCGTACCTGAGAGAGGGAACAAGGAAGGAGGTGAGGGACGGGAGAGAGAATGTGCAAGGGCTGTAGGAATTGATCAAACCCCTTCCTGTTGGGGTGGTTGTCTGGGTCGACCCGTGCGTCTCGATGTTGGCCTCGTCTACAACGAGCAGGCCAAACAGGTCGGTCAACTCGTACCTGAGAGGAGAGAGGGAGCAGAGTTGGATAGGGATGGGAGTCCGCATGTGCATAAGAATCAACATGGCATGGGCATGGGCATGGGCATGGGCATGGGCATGGGCATGGGCATGGGCATGGGCATGGGCATGGGCATGGGCATGGGCATGGGCATGGGCATGGGCATGGGCATGGGCATGGCGTGGTCACGCCACATGGGCAGGGCAGGAGGATGGGGATGCGAATGATGAAGGACAATGGCTGTGTGTGGCAGGTGACTTTTGAGTCGAATCAAAAGTCGCCACATGGGCATGAGGATGGGGATGCGAATGATGAAGGACAATGGCTGTGTGTGGCAGGTTGTAGTGAGCATGCAAACAGCGAGCTGATTGCACAGCGTAACAGCGTAACAGGGAAAGAAAATGGCCATCCTGCGCAGCGTACCAGCGAGGATGATTGGGGTAGTGGCTGCATCGCACTGCGTTCACGTTGTGCCTCTTCATCTCCACTACATCCTGTGTAAGGAGGACAGAGGGGGAAGGAGGGAGAATGCAGGCAAGAGAGAGGGAGCAGGGAGGGAGGGAATGAGAAGAGGACAGCGAGTAGGATAAGTCCTATCCTGGAAAGGTGGGATGGGGCGAGAACAGGGAGGGAGCAGGGAGGGAGCAGGGAGGGAGCACGGAATGAGAAGAGGACAGCAAGAGACATAAGTTTCGGAAACGCCGATGAAGGCCTAAAAAGCCGAAACGCGCGTACGTTCTCTGAACCACTTGTAATCTACCGATTTAATACTACTACGTTTACCAACACGTGTTCTCGCCTAGTACTCAGTAAGATTAGTGCCTTTTAGATTAGTCATTACCGGTCGGTCAAACCGAGCTTGCAGCTTTCTACCCGTTTTTCAGTTTGAGGGAGCAGGGAGGGAGCAGGGAGGGAGCAGGGAGGGAGCAGGGAGGGAGAAGGGAGGGAGCAGGGAGGGAGCACGGAATGAGAAGAGGACAGCAAGAGACATAAGTTTTATCTTGACCAGCGTTGACTTAGTTCGACCAGCGTTGACTCACCTTGACCATGCACTCCTCGATGTTGACCTTCCCAGTCTGCGGGTGGTGTTCGTGCCGGTTCACTCCTTTCACCACCACAGCCCTCCCATTCACCAGCAGCTCTCTCCCCCGCACCTCCACCCGCCTCACCCCCACCCTCGCTGCTTCCACCTGCTGTGGCCGCCCTGAGGCATCTGCCAGCGTCACCACCAGCGTGTACAGGTGCGGCTGGAAGAGAGGGGGAGGCGGGGTGGGGGAGGAGGAAGGGGGGGAGAGGGTCCAGAGAGCGGCTTAGGAGAAGCAGAGAACCAGGTTGTAAGGCAAGTCTCTTCTAATCCTTGAACAGGGATGTGAAGCAGCTCTCTCTCTCTCTCTCTCCCCCCTGCACCTCCACCCGTCTCACCCCCACCTGCATCCACCATTCCCCCAACCACCACCATGAGTCACCAACGGTCCTGATTGAACCAGACCTAATCAAGTTGTCGACCCATGGTATGTAAGGCACCTTCTGTTCTGCGCATTATACACCAAAGGGGCACTGCACCTGATGTTCCTTTCTCACCTGATCAGGAGACCACAACACAAGTTTGTCCTTATCCACCTGCGCCTCCATCCGCACTCGCATTGTGTTCCCAATCACCACCACCTGATCATCCTTCCATCCTCCACTCCCCTCTCCCCCTCCTCCTCCCACTCCCACCCCTTCCACTCTCTTATCGCCCGCTCCCAACCCCACAGCCTGGAAAACCGCTGCTTCAGGGAGCCTCAGCGCTTCTAAGTCATCCATTTCAGGGTCTTTAGGGGGGCGGGAGGTAGGGGACATGGGGAACGAGGAGAGGGAGGAGGAGAGGAAGGAGGGGGGGTCGGAGGAGGGGGAGGAGGAGGAGGAGGGCGAGAGGGGGTGCTGATCTGGCGGCGGCGGGGAAGAGCGCCACGCATCGAAGAGGTAGGCCTCGACGTGACAGCTGTCGAGAAGAGATTGGATGTCGCAGCAGGGCCAGCCCTCCAGCAGGACCTCTAGCTGAGCCCTCCGGGGGAGAGTGATAAGGGAGGGAAGGAGGGAGGGAAGGAGGGAGGGAAGGAGGGAGGGAAGGAGGGAGGGAAGGAGGGAGGGAAGAAGGGAGGGAAGGAGGGAGGGAGAAGAAAGTGTGTGTGTGTGTGTGTGTGTGTGTTTTTTTTTTTTTTTTTAAAAATTTTTTTTAATTTTTTTTAATTTTCTCTAAGGTTGTCGCAGCGAGGCCAGCCCTCCAGCAGCACCTCTAGCTGAGCCCTCGGGGGAGGAGGAGGAGGAAAAGGAAAGGAGGAGAGGAAGGGAGGGAAGAAATGGAGAATGTTCTTGAGTCAATACAGAAGCCAGCCTTTCAACAGCACCTAATACAACCCTCCATACACCCACAGACCCCTCTCCAAGCACCAAGAAGCAGCAGGCATCGCACCTTCACTGTTGCAGACTGCAGGTCGTCAGGCACCTCAGTCTTCACCTCCAAGTCTGCATACAACCATGTACGACCACATACAACCGCAAACAATCGCATACCATGCACCATGCAGCAAGCACCATGCATAGCTAGCATCGCACCTTCACCGTTGCAGACTGCAGGTCGTCAGCCACCTCAGTCTTCACCTCCAAATCCGCTATGTGCACCTGAGAGGGGTTCAGCCGACATGTACACGTTCAGGAAAGGAACTGGTTTTTGAGAATTCTCAAAAACCACTTGAGAGGGGTTCAGCAGACATGTACACGTTCAGGAAAGGAAACGGATGATTGGAACTAGGAATTTTACATGCGTCTAGGTAACTTATGGTCCTCAGCTACTTACATTTGCAGAGGAAGGGGAGGAGCTGAAGAGCTTGGCTGTGAGGCCAGATATTGTGAATCAGATCCTAACGAGTGGATAGTAAAATTTCACCTGTGGGCGGCACAGCAGAGAGACATCGCGGTGCATGCCGGACAGCCACCAGTGGTCCTGGTCCTCCAGATACGACCCATCGCTCCACCGCACTATCATCACCGCCAACACATTCTCCCCTTCCCCTTCCCCATCCCCTTCCTCCCCATCCCTTTCCTCCCCATCCCCCACTCTCCCCGCTTCCCCCTCTGCTTCACGAGTATTCCCCTCCCGATTCTTCCCCTCAGAAGTGCCCTCTTTCCCTTTTTCCTTCCCGCGTGTGATACAATAGGGTGTGACGTTGAACTCGGCAGGCAGGCGGCTGTCCTGGCTGTATCCCACATAGTGCCCGTTCAGCCACACGTGGATGGCGGAGTCTACACCCTCGAAGCACAGCGTGATGTGCTGGCCTGGCAAGGAAAGGGGGGTAGGAGGGGGAATGGAAGAGGCAGGCTTGTGAGTCTTCAGTTGCAGGCAGGCGGCTGTCCTGGCTGTACCCCACGTGGCACCCGTTCAGCCACACGTGGATGGCGGAGTCGACTCCCTCCAAGCACAGCATGACGTGCTGGCCTGGCAAGGGGGTTGATGAGAGCAGGGAGAGGGAAGAGAGCGGAGAGGGATGCTTGAGTGGGAAGGACTCAGTGTGAAAGTCGAGCTGGCCTGGCAAGGGTTGCATGGCAGCATGGAGAGAGGGGAGGGTGAGCGAGAGTGGGAGGGGACTTACCTCGCCGAAAGCCAAAAACACAAGAGTTTACCTGACCAGGAGGCGGGGAGGGAGAAGCGGCGGCGGTAGCAGGCAGTGGGGTTGTCTGTGGGGACGAAGGGCGGCTGGATGGGGAAGGGGTACTGGATGTTGGTGTAGATGGGCGTGTCCTGCACCTCCTCTGATTCCCACACTGCTGCTGCTGCTGCTGACACCGCTGATGCTGCTGATGGTGTTGCAGATGGTGTGCGTGGTGAAAACACTGTTGACTCCTTTGCTGATGCTGGTGCTGCTGCTGCTGCTGATGACGATGATGATGATGATGATGCTTGTGCTGTTTCGTCTCTTCCTGTTTCGGCTGCTTGCTGCTGCTGTTTTTGCTGCTTCTTCTGCTGAAGCTGCAGCTGCCAGTGGGATGGAACTGGGGTGAGCAAGAGAGGGGAGGGAGGCAAGAAGGCAGAGAAAGAGCGGAGGGGGGTGTGACGGGACAGGGGAAAAGAGGATGAGAGGGAGAGAGGACGGGAAAGAAGGATGGAGAGACAATTCGGATGAAGGGCTGACCGGTGTTAAAACGTAGAACACGGTAAAGTTACTAAGTATGAATCAGACAAATAAACTCTCCATAAATAGGATTAAAATTCTTCTCCGAATGACAACCACCTGTCAATAATGCTTCACCTGGATGCGTCGACCAATCAGAGTCATTGAATCCAGGCGCAAAAAAACCCTCAGGAACTTCCTCAGGCCTCGGGAACAGCCGGAACCGCCAGGAGCCGCTCAGAGAGGCGACACGTGGCAGACCGTGGACCCACCACCTGGCGCTCCGTACTGCCGCCACGTCAGCGCCAGCTCCAGGCGCCCAGGTGGCAGCATCTGCTGCTTCAAACGTGGCTGCTCTGTCACGGTGGTACCAGAAGCGAAGGGCGTCTGACGGGGTGTTGGGAGAGAGGAAGAAGCGATTTAATACTAGCTGTGTGTGTGATAAACAGGATGAATCGCTGAATATTCATTGTTGGGCATTGAATGTCAGTTTTATACCATACATTGATGATTATTAACATTCATGACGAGTATGCAAGGCTGAACAGGCAACGTTGAAAATGAAATGTTGAGCATGCAATTCTGAACACGGAATGTGACCAAAGAAAATCATCTGTACCGTCGACAGTTGCATGAGAGTGTAGAGGCACATGCGCTCTCTCCCGCTTGTATCCAAACATCGCTTGATCCTCCCACCACCGCCCGCGCAATACCTCCGCCATTCCTCCTCCCATTACGCGCAAATCCCCGGATTCAACGCCGCAATCTTCGCCAATGCTCGCGCTTTCCCTCGCAACTTCCCTTACGAACGCTGGCGGAAATCTTCTTTTGCAGATTTTCGGGCGTCCGTTTCCCGGCAGCGATGGGAAGCGCGGTGAGTGCGAGACGAAGAGGCGCGAAGGACGTGCTCGACAAGCGTGTAACGGTGCCGGAATTGTAACCGGATTTGTGGCCAGATTCGCAGGTAGTTGTTGAGAATTCTCAAGGTATACCAAAGCGAGGGGACGACGAGAGCATAACAATGCGGGATTCGATGTCAGATGCACGGAGGAGCAATGCACGTGGCAGGTGCACAAGGCAAGGAGCATGGAGTTGCGTCACGCTGAAATGCGGGTTTACAGAGAACGCGAAAATGGCACTTATTCATTAACAATATCGACCAGCCTCCTAAACAAGGAGTGAAAAGGCAGGGGATGAAGAGAAGATGGAGATGGAAGCATGAGGAAAAGGTTCAGTATGTCAAATGCTGGCAAGGCAGGAAATTCAGGAATTCATGGGGGTGAATCTGTCTCAGGCATACAGAGAATTCTCAATTAGTTTTCAACAAATCAGGTCTACATCCCTCTTCAACGTGACGGAACTCACTGAACCGTACAATATCTTCCAACTTCTGTTTTGAGTCACGTCACATACTGAATCTCTCCCCCCCCTGTCGGGGAATGGAATCTGTGCCAGTTTGGCGACCTTCTTTTGAAAGACTCGAGATTGGAAAGGGACGATGTTTTCAAGAAATTGTTCGTAGTTATCGAGGAACTACCGGTACCTTACATCTAAATGTGACATTTTAGTTTGATGTTGTTAGCAATAATTTCAAGGCCAGGTAATCAACTAAACAAGCAGTTCATAGAGGCCCAGTTGTTGAGATATCAGTACAGCATAAGCAATGCATATCGTGAGATTTTCTGTTGATGTGCAGAATTATTCTCATCTGTGTATGCACACCACATAGTAGTGACTTTCAAGTGGGCAAAGATGCTCGCAAGGCGTGAGAGAACCCCAAAAACCTGAAGAAAAGAAAGCCCACATCACTTGTTGGGCTGAGAAAAAGCCCGTTGAGGATCTTTGCAGGGGTGAACTCTGGGTAGAAACGATGTAATAGCGGAAGCGTTTAATGATGTAATTGTGAACCACCTTGCGCTAGTGTGTGATGGCCAAGTAAGTTGATTAAAGCAAAGAGATACAAGATTATATAAGAGTACAAGGAATATGAAAGGGTACAACTATAACCTGTTTTATTGTTGCTGTTGCGGTTCGATACAGTGACGACTCGGGCAACTGCTCTGTAACGAGTCAGTTGTGTGTCCTTGCTGTCGCGCTGTACTGGTCAGGTCGAAGGTCGCTGACCTTTGACTTTCGCGTAACCTCCAGCGGTTACTTCAACCTCCGAGGGTTGACTCGCGGACGTTTCGATATGCTTTGCTTCGCTTGTGACTTGGGTTTTCGCCGCGACAGAAGCGCCTTTAAATCAATTGTTTCCAGCACTCCCCTTCGCTTCTGGAGTGTCGCTGTTGGTGACGTGGCTTTGTCCAGTCAGCAGCATGCAGTACTCGAATTTCTGTTTTCCGAGCTTCTTGGTCAAATAGTCAGCTGCCATCTCGGATGTGGGACAGTATGACAGCTCGAGCCTCCCCTTCTCGATCTCGTCCTTCACGAAGAAGTATCGCAGGGCGATGTGTTTCGTTCTGTTCGCAAAGCCGTTCTTGTTGGCGATGCGAATCGCTGACTGGTTGTCGCAGAACAGGGTGAAGCTTGGTAACTGGGCCAATTTTGCTTCTTCCAGCAGTTCGCGAAGGTAGAGTCCTTCCTTGGTGGCTGAGCAGAGTGCGATGTATTCTGCTTCTGCTGAAGAGAGGGCGATTAATTCCTGCTTGCTCGACTGCCAGGAGATAGGACCGATAGGCTCGAGGCGGTAGATGTAGCCGGTGCGCGAGCGCCTATTGTCGGAGTCGCCGGCATGATCGGCGTCGACGTAGCCGATTAGCTTAGGAGTCGTAGTTCCGTTCTTTTGGTAGGTTAGGCCGACGGTTGGGGTGCTGGCGAGGTAGTGAAGAGCACGGTTAAATTCTGCCATGTGATTTGCTTCGGGCTTCTTGAGGTTGGTGGCGAGCTGGCTCGCGGAGTATGATAGATCCGGACGACAGATGACAGCTGCGAAGAGGAGACATCCTAGTTTCCTCTGGTAGTCACGTATGCTGGCGAGCTTGAGTAGAGCAGAGCCTTCCTTGTTGCTTCATGTCGTGTAGTGGTACGGCGTCGAGACGGTGGTCGGCGTGAGAGCGAAGCGCTTGGCGATGGTATCGGCGTACTTTGCGGCGCTGAGGTAGATCGCGTCTTCCTCTTCCCGGATGTTGAGGCCGAGGTACTGTGTAACGGTGGATGAGACCGTGAGCGTGAGGTCTTGTTGTAGCTCCCCTTCGAACCAGGTTGTGACACTGTCGGTCGAGCCGATGTAAAGCAGATCGTCTACATAGACGATTAGCAAAATGTAGTCGGTGCCCTTCGTGAGCCGATACATGCACTGATCGTGCGGTAGTTGCTTGAAGCCGATGCGAATGAGGCGAGTGTGCAGGTATTGTTGCCATAGCCGCGGGGCTTGCTTGATGTCGTAGAGCGAATTGAGTAGCTGGCAGACGTGATTAGGTTCTCCGTTGGAGCCGTGCGGTAGTTCGACGAAGTTTTCTGCGTCAACAGGTGGATAGAGAAAGGCGTTCGCGACGTCAATTTGTCGCAGTTTCTTCTTCTTCATGGCGGCGATCGCGAGAAGAATCCGCAGCGAGGTGTGTCGACTGACCGGGGCGAATGTTTCGGAGAAGTCGCGTCCGTGCTCTTGGTCGAAACCACGTACAACCCAGCGCGCCTTAAATTTGTCGATGGTGCCGTCCGCCTTCGTCTTCACACGGAAGACCCATTTTCTGGTGAGTATTGTCTTGTTTTGCGCTACGCTGATGGGAACGACTTTCATATTTGTACTCCCATTCTTGTTAGTCACATCATTCTCGTTCTATTTCCACATGGTATCAGAGCAGGTTCCCTCGTGGGAACTGTTCCTAGGGCCCACCGACTTTTTTTTCCTGCCCGGAGCGCACTCCGCCCCTGCCCGAGTCGCGCTCCCCTCTCACTGCCCCTAGTGGCCCCGTCGCGCCGCCCTTGCGGCCCCGTCGCGTCGCCCTCGCGGCCCCTTCACGCCGCCCTCACGGCCCCGGCGCTGCCTCTGCTGGCCCCGTCGCCCCACCCTCGCGACCCCGCGGCCCCACCCTCGCGGCCCCGGCGTCGCCCCTCGCGACTTCGTCGCAGCCACCCGCGACCCCACCGCCGCCCTTCGCGGCCCTGTCGCCCCTCGCGCCGCCTGCGACCCCGTCGCCGCAGCCGCCCGCGACTCCGTCGCCGCAGCCGCCTGCGACTCCGTCGCCGCAGCCGCCAGCGACCCCGTCGTCGCAGCCGCCCGCGACCCCGTCGTCGCCGCCGCCCGCGACCCCGCCGCCCCACCCGTGCGACCCCGGCGCCGCCCTCCGCGGCCACCCTTCGTGGCCCCGCCGCCTCCTGTCAGCGGCCCTGCCGCCCTTCACGGCTCCGCCGCCACCACCGAGCAGCCGAGCCGCCGAGACGCCGGCGCCGCAGAGCCGCCGTTGTCGCCGAGCTGCAGGCGCCGCCGAGCCGCCGTTGCCGCCGAGCTGCCGAGTCGCCGAGCCGCCGTTGCCGCCGAGCAGCTGCTGCCGCCGAGTTGCCGAGCCGCCGCTGCCGCCGAGCTGCCGAGCCACCGAAACTGCCGTCGCGACCCTGTTCCTGCCGGCGCGCCTCGGTCCTTCTCGCCTGCCTGATAAGAGCAGCGCCTCCACCACTACACTGCCCTTACCCACTGCTCGCGCTGCTAGTCTACTGCTGTCATGGCTGCCCCTAGTGTCCTCACTTTTGACGCTGAGGGTCGGGCCATTGACTTTGACGTCTGGGTAGATGACCTGCAGCTTTTCCTGCTGAGCGATAGGGCAGACGGTCTCTCCCTCTTTGACCTCACTTCTGGTGCCTCTCCTTCCCCTGCTGCTGATGCTGACGCCACTGTTCGCTCACAGTGGGCCACGCGCGATGCTGCTGCCCGCCTTGCTGTGCGCCGCCACTTGCCGACCGCTGAGCGTGCGCACTTTAGCCAGTACAAGAGTGCTAAGACCTTGTACAACGCTGTAGTTGCACGCTACTCTTCCCCTGCCACTGCTGCGCTTAGCCGCCTCATCCTACCGTACCTCTTCCCTGACCTCGCCGCTTTTCCCACTGTCGCTGACCTCATTACACACCTTCGCACTAGTGACACTCGCTACCGCGCTGCGCTTCCTGCTGAGTTCTGCGCCAAGAACCCCCCCCCCCCCATGTACATCACCCTCTACTACATAGTCACCCGGCTCCCTGACACCCTTCGCCCGGTTAGGGACCACTTCCTCTCTGTTTGCCCCACCACCCTCACCGTTGCCCTCCTCGAGGAGCGCCTTCTAGCGGCAGAGAAGAGCATAGTCGCTGTCGGAGCCTCTCGCGGTGACCCTCATACCCTTGTCTTTGAGGGGTGCTCCCCCTCTCCCCTCCTGCCCTCTGTTGCCTCTTCTGCTGCGGCCGACCTCGTTGGTCTTGAGTCGGTCGCTGCGGCGTCTGCCCCTAGCGGGAGACGCCGCCCTGGCAAGGGCAAGGGGGGCAAGGGTGCTGGAGGAGCTAGCGGGGGCGGTGGAGGCGGAGGTGGGGGTGGTGGAGGGGGTGGGGGTGGCGGTGGGGGTGGTGGCGGGGGTGGGGGCGTCAGTGGCGTCAGTGGAGGCGGAGGCGGAGGCGGCGGTGGCGGTGGGAGCGGAGGTGGCGGAGGTGGCGGTGGTGGAGGAGGTAGCGGCGGAGGAGGTGGAGCTGGTCGAGGTGGCGCTGCACAGAGGGTTGGCTCCGGTGGTGGTCAGCGCCAGCAGCAGCAGCAGAGCGCTCGTGAGAT